GTGATATATTATGACACCATCATGCTGCCTAGTAACCGCCTACCCACGGGCTTTAATGACCCATTTTGAGCATATAAAAACATCAACTACCCCTATTTTTTGTCTCAGTGTGATTAAAAATATCGGTTTGCATAAACACACAGACATAATACTCTATGTATATAAATACATATGAAGTTGCACTATTTGATTGAACCTTATTATGCAGCCCCAAGACTTGCTTCTTTCAAACTATACACATTTGACCCATAGTTCATAACGAGTCTAAATTGATAAGTAGAGATTTATGTTACATCTGCAGATTTGACTGAATGTTCACAACTACTAGCCTGCACAAGACTATCTGTTTTTTCCCCGGTAACTATAACATTTATAAACTTGTGCATTTCCCTGTTTGCATTTTCTTGCATGTGCTTTGACCTTAGAGGCCGCCATATGTTTTAATTCTTGTTCTTTCTCATTGAAAGAAAAAGTGCAGACCAAATTGTTCTTTAACTTCCCTTTTTTATTTAACAGCTAAACAATATCGCCTCTGCAACTCTTTTGGACTCACCGTAGTCAAGCGTTTGGTCCTCGGCAAAGCTGAACCGAGACACTCCTGATTTTGGCTAAGCTGAATGGTGGGATCTCCAATATGTCCACATTCGGCACTGCTGTCCCTAACTGCATTTTCACACATGAACTTCAAATAGCATTGCTACGATCAGGCTGTGATCAGGTTTCCACAGCTATCTTTTCTGATGTGCATGCTTCAGGAAATAGTCAGCTTCAAACACACTGTCACTACTAGAAATACTCTGTGTGGATTAGGTGGGGTGCTGCCAGGATGGCGCAACTGGAGGCAGGACAAAGGATGACCACTCATTAGCAGCAAATGTACTAGACGATTAGCTACACCATTCACACATTGGTGCAATCTGATACCAAATGGATCCTGTACTAGGGAGCAGGCAGATTAAAGACCGGCTAAAATGCAATGTGAGTGCATCGGACATTTGTGTTAACACTTGTCCCTTTATCAGGTAAGTGTGAGAAAAGTTCAGGACTGCAATGCCTTTAAGCAAATGAGTTTTATGAGATTTCAGGTGTAATCTTATACTTCCTATACCTGCAAAAAATTTTGTGCCATCACGTCTAGTACACCTCAAAAAACAGCTGCAGTATTTTCACTTGTATTCTCTGCAGGACAAGTTACATAATCACATGTAAGTATTTCTGTTTGTAAAGCTACGAGTGGGCCATCTGATGTTCACGTTGCTCACTCACTCAGTAGTGACAGAAAGAGAGGTTTGCTTCAAATCTAACATGACACAATCATAATATTACAAACTGCTGGTACAAGAAATTAAATTTGTCAACTAGAGAAACAGATGCTTATTATCTTTTTGTCTGCTGCTTTTTATTTCCTGCACAAAGCTAAAATCATGAACCCAACACCTGCACGCTGAAGGCGGTGTGGTAAGCTAATGAAGATTTATGAACTTGCATTAAATTTTTATTTTTATACGTCAGCTATAATTCAAAAGTTTTCTCCTGCTGACTCCAAACTGTAAAAAAAAAATACTTCAGGTAAAATGTGTGCACAGGTAGGAACACAGGCCATCTGAATTTACAAGACAGTACGTGAAAGAATGAAAAGATGCATGGAAGTGCTTACCGATACCAGGAATTACATGTAAAAAATCATCCAGGCCCTTGTCCACAGCAGTGGTGATGATTTTGACCTTTGGGAAGGCATAGGCCACAGAGTGCACCCCGAGCTCTGCCATCAGCAGCGACACCAACATGATCTTATTCTCCTGCACCTCATGATCCTGCTCAGTCACACACATCACAGCAACAACAGTTAGTGGCTTCTTGATCACTTTAAGAAGCTCAGTAAGTGGAAAGGATACATTTGAGGGTTTCCTTGCAGGAATAATACAACTCAAACTGCACCAGAGAAAAAGAATAACATCTACTCAATGCCCACACAGATGGGTAATAAAACACATGTGACTGCCCAAGAGGAGAGGGTCCCTACTGCTGCCTTACTGCAGGGTAATGATGCTAATTTCCACCCACCAATAGGACTCGAACTGCCATCATGGCAGCAGCGCCGGTGGAGACTGTGCTGTCCATTAGGATGACATGATCTTCACTGATGTCTTTGGGCAGACGCAGGTAATGCAGCTGGTGAGGCCAGAGAGGAGGAGACCAGTTACCATGGTTACAAAAGCAGGAAGGGTAGTTACCACGGAGACACACATCATGTGGAAGGGAAAAAAAATTAAAAAACAATCAAAACATTTTCATCTTTTGTTTGATGTGATTTTTGAGACACACCCAGGAGCGCGTGAAGTCTGGAAAGCAAAGCACGCACATGGATTTGATGGTAAATGACTCATGTTTTTCTACCTCTGGCTCGCCTGAGTCGAGGTTGGTCTGGATGAGGATCTTGCCGATGCGGACGTCCTTGCACACGGCCCTCAGGGCGGGCTCCATGGTCTCTCCTGCACGCAGGATCGACACACCGGTGATCTGAGGAGACGAGGCAGCAGAGCGAGCATGATGACAGAAACCCTGAGGTCATATTCGACTGGAAGCTAGCAAGACCTTGTAAAACAAGAACATCACTTACCCCTTTACCGTTGTAACTGCAGCCCTCGTAATCATGGCCCTGTGGGGTCTGAACTGAACACGGCTGCAAAGGCAGAAGAAGAAATGATGTTTTATTACACACCAAACACCCCACAAACAAACACACCGACATAAAAAAGTGGCACTAAAGAAAAAATACACAAATATAAACCTGATCTTTAACACAAACACTACATTTGCACAAGAGTTCTCAGATTTATTTATTTATTTATTTTTTGCTGTAATGAGTATCATAGTGACGTATTTAGTTTCTTTTTCAGTAGGTAATCCCTATGAATCAAAAGCTCAAGCTTCACACACTCAGTGTAAGGCAGTTTTCTTTTTTTTTCGTCACTCTGTGTGATGGCAGTGAAAACAGAAATCCCTGACATGGTCATCTCATGCACACAGCTCTAACTAGCAAGAAGCTTTGGTCCGCCCAGAAGCCACGCCCACCTGATATAAAATATTTTGTTCACAAGGGGCAGCCAAGAGAGAGTAGCTTTGAAGATTTGAGCTGCACCTAGGCTCTTCAATCCCTTAAAAATAAGTTTATTTTTAAAATGTGAATTATGCAAAGCTACTCCTCAGAAATCCAAATATAAAAACCTGGAGGTGCAAATGGGCATAATGGGGCCACTTCAAGTTCTATCATATTTCTGTGTTGCTTTCCTTGCCAAAAAAAAGAAAAAAGGAGAAAAAAAAAGAAAATCCCCAGTGAAATTAATTGTTACTGTTTTATGTGACTGAGGAGAAGCTAATAATATCAGCTCATTATGCAGAAAGGTAAAGTCAGCAGATTTAGAATGTGAAGTCTGAAACATGCCCTCTGGATAATATGACTAACATGCATGAGCTAACTGTGAAGGGGGCTCTAATGAGGTGCTTTACTCAGTAAGCCTAACAAGTTTTATTACAAGAGTTCGCATCAAAAAGGGCAGCTTTTCATTCCTCAATTCAACATTAATAGTGTTCACTTAGCTTTAACACAAGTACATTTTCAGAGAAATACAGAGAAATAATTATATGTTCTGTTAAGTGGTTTTGGTTGTTAACCGCTAGGCAAACAGTAGAAGGTATGAGGATGAAAAAAGTGAAAACAGGGTTGTCTGCAGTTCAGTGAATCAAAGATGTAATAAAAAAAAATCTTAAGAAAGAAAAATAATCGCAAAAAGCTTTACAGCTGTTTTGTCATGATAGAATATGAAGATGAAGTGGTTTTCATACACAGTATGTGGAACATAACGCTATAGTTACAGACAAAACTTCTTATTTGCATGACAGTGACAGGCATCACTGAAATTTGGGAGCCGACAGGGTTCACCGTGGCTTATTTTACTTTTTTAATTGATACAGCCGACTTACGAAACATGAAATGTAAAATTCAGATTATGTTTTAATAACCTACTTAGTTTGACTATTTAAAGGAACACATGTATTGCACTTTCATACATCCAGCAGGCACATTGCAACTTTGTTGTTGTTGCTGTGTTTGTGTCCATTGAAGGGTGCAAAAAACTGCAGTTCCTTTAGTGACCACTTGAGGCTGGGTGCAAAACGAGTAAATCCCCATACACTCCCATTTTAAATTGTCCAACTTTACAGCTTTAAAAAAAGCTTTTTGGGCTCTACGGATAGTTTTGACTCTTCCAAAAACTCTGAGACAGGTGAGTTTTTTATAAGTCACCCACCAGGATGATTGAGTAAAAGATGTGGCTGCGCTGATTTACAGGCAGCCAAACGGTACCTGTCAGACTCATCACAACACTTCGCTTCACTGTGTGTGCCGTTGGTGACTTTTGGAGCATTTTGATTGATAACCTGACTAATGTTATGGCTTGCTGTGTAGTCAAGAACATCCCAGTAGTTTGTTATTCAGTTTTGGTGAGTGTATTTAGGATTAATTATCTGGTATGTTGTTTCTCAAGCCCTTTTATCCATGCAAGGTAACTTGTGGATCTAAAAAAAACCCAACATGGTGGGGGCCAAAACGCTAATGTTAAAGCTTCAAAATGCAGTCAGCTTGAAACCAAAACTATGAATTAAAATATGAGAAACTCAAGAGATTTGGAGGGAATTAATTACTGCTTTTTTGTTTGTTTTGTTTGTTTTAATCACTATGAGCAACTCTTTTCATGCAAGGGTAATCATATTAATAAAAAGTAATGATTCTAGATATTCAAACCAAGATTACTCACCTGAGATGGTAGAAATGTTAGAGCATGCTCTATGAGAAGCCGCATTAACCTCTTTGAGTAGAAGATAAACTCGTCTCGGCTGGTTTCTTTGTTCCTGCGGCGGAGGGAATCAAAACGTTTTTAAATTTCAAATTATAGGACTGCAGGAAGGACATCATGATCACATGTCACTACCTGATGATGGTGTGCAGGCCCCTGACCTGCGGCGTACTCTCGAGGACACTGAGCGTCTGGGGCAACGGCTGCGTCTGCTGGGCAGAGGCCAGGAGTGCCCTGAGACAAAGCAGATCAGATCAAAAGGTTTAACTTTGTTAGTCCGACACACTATCAGAGAAAAGAGATTCTGAGGCGGCAGGGAGTTTTCAGAGAGGGCAGATGGGGCACAGTGTGGAAGCCATAGAGGACACAGTTTGAATATAAAATTTCCAATTACAATAAGCCGACCAAAGTCACAGAAGTGAAAATATGTATCAGCATACCTGACACTGAGTTCACGCTGCATAAAGGGAGGACAGAGAGAGACGATAAATGAAAATAATAGTAGAGGAAAAAATAATGTTTCAGAAGATAAGGATGGTGATGCTGTTTTTCCTATTTAAAAAAAACCCCTTTTAATATCCTGCCCTGACACTGCTAATGCAGCAAAAGCACACTTGGATAGAAAAACCAAAATGAAACACTTTCAGTCCTGGATCGGCCTCCCCACAGCCGGGACCTCAACACAGAACAAAACAAAAGGCTGCTAAAATCCAATGAAGAGTTTTGAACGTCCCTCAAGAAGCTTGGAAAACTATTCCCAAAGAAAAAGCTTCAGGAGTTCAAGCTGTGCTCAAGAATAAAGGTGGTCACACCAAATATTTTGCACGTGCATGCATTAGAACTGTACAAACTCTATTTCTGCCTTATATACTGTATGTTTGCATGTTTCAATAAATCACTGCAGCTCTTTCGCATTTAAACACAAAAAAAATGAGGGACGGCTCAAGACTTTGGCAGAGTCCTGTATGATTTTAGTTGGTTTCCTCCTGTCTTTGCATTTTGATAACTAAAATCGACATTCACATCTAGTCTTTGTTTTTCGTTTTAGTTACTGAGTACATTTCTTCCTAATTATTTTTTTAATTGAATAGATAATTTATTAAAACAGCAGGGCACTGAGGATTTTATCATATGTGACTCAAACACATATACTGCTTTTACTGGTTTCAGGATGAGCCACATTCGACTGATTCAGCATGCTCATCACAATAAAGGAACATGTCATCCACTACAACTGCAGGACTTTTCACTGGCTTTTGAACAACAGTAGAGGTCACATGGCTACACACATAACACTTGTAAAATCAACAAATCTCAGGTTTTGTGTTTTTAATTCAGTTTGCTGGCAATATTTTTCAAAGTTAAAGGGTTAAAAATGTGAAAGCTTGCTCGATGTATTTTCTTCTGATGCCACTTATCCCACAAAGAATTGGAAGTCTGCATGTTTCAGCCTTCAGACACATGGTGGCACCATGCTCTCAAGTATACGGAGCGATTTGGTGACTCACCTCCTCCAGCTGGCTGTGAACATGCTGGACAATCAGATCAATGGCCACCATATTCCCACCACCTTGGAGGGAACAAAAAGCCGAGAACAGCCAGTGTTAACAAATATGTCCAAACGTTTTAGTTTAGGTGGTCTTTAGGAAAGACGAGGCCTGTCTGACTCACCTCTTGGTACAACAATATCTGCCAGCCTCATGGTTGGTTCGATGTACTGCTCAAAGGCTGGTTTCACAAACTTGTTGTATTGCTTGATTACGCCTTCAATGTCCCGTCCACGCACTGTGATGTCTCTGCGGAGCCGGCGGACGAGCCGAATGTCTGAGTCTGCGTCCACAAAGATTTTCATATCCAGGAGCTGCAGGTGCGAAGAGCCAACAGTTCAATAATGCTCATTTCAGCCAAGCAGCTGCACAAACAATTCCTGGTGATGATTAGTCTGCTTCACTCAAGAATTCTTCAAAAGAAAGGAAATAAAAGAATGCACTGTCTTACCTGAAGAAGCTCTTTGTCTGCAAAGGACATAATTCCTTCAAAAATGATCACACTGGCACCGTACACATTTTTCTGCAAGAAGAGGAGGGAAAGTCGAGTCTTTAAAGAAAAAAGCAGTCGTTTGAGCTTTTATAAGATTAAAGGTGCAGTGTGTCACTTTGACACATAGTTTTTAAAAATTTAAATTTCATTTAAGTTTAATACATTTTCAGCTTTGAATGCTGCCTCTACACTGGGGTTCTTTCTGGTCCATCTCATCTTTGGCATAATCAACACTGAGGTTCCTTTAAAGCAATAAAAACCAAACTCACCCAGTCTTTATGTCTCATGTGTGTGGTGAAATCATACACCGGGATCTTCACACTCTTGCCCTGCTTCAGTTTTCTCAGGGTGGAAACCAGCAGCTCAAAGTCAAATGCTCCCGGGTGGTCAAAGTTGTAGTCGTTCTTTGCAGCCAGAGCCTGCTCCTCGGGGGATAAAACCTGAAAGACACAAAATAAAGATGAATTTCAGAGGATCTTCCTCATTAACTTGATTAACTATTTAAAGATTTTAAATGAGGGTTTATTTTATCATTTAGATCAGCTTATTACCACAAATATGAACCATTAAACTCCTGGGCTGAAAATGCAGTTTTATTATAATGCTAACAACTGCACTTCTTCTAATGGCCAATGACTTCTTTAGGCTCTGCAAACAAGTCAGTCCTCATAGACTCCAAAGTTAAAATACGGAACTTAACAGAATTCAAATAATGTTTTAACTCTGGCACAAAACACAGCTTTGTTGTTTTAAGTTAATGTACCCATTTGTGACAAGTGTAGTGAGGGTGAATTTTTCAAAAACTGACCCGTTTATCCTTTGCTAACGCCTAAAGTTAGGAACGTGGACCATCTGACTGAGACTTCATTTCAGCTCAGCCAGTCACTGAGATGGACGTCTCAATTGCATTGGTGCCTTCTTATTAATGCAATTATCTGACAAAAACTACAGATTGCTGTGTTGTTAATTGTAACAGCAGATTTTCTTCTGTGAAGTTGTGTTATTACTTTTAGATTATATTATTAATTAGCTGATACCTTTGTCTGTGAATGCAGAAGAGAGAAGTAAGACTTCAGCATACCTGATTTTGTCTTAATTTACTGATCCCGCTAAACATTGGACGTCGGATAGACGTTCAGATCTATATTGGGTCCGTTGGTCAACAACTAGTTCTGGACAACTACACACAACCAAACTAGGTCTACAATTTGGACGTCCAACCATGACCCAGCTTGGACGTCAACATTTGAACTTTGGACTTCATCTGGACGTCTATGATAGATGCAGGAAATTTATATGATTAATAAATGTAAAGGTAATAATAAAGGTGTAAACAAAAATCAACTGGTAGCCTATCCTCCTGACTACCAGCAATGCAAATGTGTCCTCTGTAGAGCACCTTTCTAAACCTGAATATCTCCCATGCACTGCATACTACAGAATTGCCTCCTTTTGGTATCTACAGAGGACATTTAGGGCTTTCCAATGATACCAAATGTGAAGGGGTGGGAACTTTAGTTTTTTCATTAAGGAACATGGCGGCCATCGCTGCAAGCACATT